GTCTGTAATGACAATGATTTGATCAACCTCAATCCATGGGACTTGGCAGATCTACTGGCATTTGCAAACTAGAGGACAAACAAAGGAATGATCTTCTCAATGGCCAAAACGATTTCCAGAGCTAAGCTTGATTTCCATATAGCTCTGAAGACTGGTGAGGAACAACTTTCTATAATTGCTCCAAATGAGAATTTGGAAGGAATAGAGAATGTACGCTCTACCACCATCCTAACGGATCCAGAACTGGATTTCATTTAAAGGAATCATCATGGACAGAAGAAATTTATGTGCATACTAGAAGCATTCAAATACTCCTCTTCTACATTGAAATGGATCAAATGAGAAGCTGAGAAATGGATGAACATACCTCTTTGTCCAAGAGATGATGCACTGGAATTTACAAGAACAATTGAATTTGAGCTCAACTACAGAAGTCTGATGATGAAATTCTAGAAGATCTTCAACAACGATCCCCTACTATGCTTGAAAGTTAAATTGTAAAAAGTTCAGTTTTCCTTGTGATTTCAATTTTGTCTTGTCAAATGAAATCTTTACAGGGGATCATGTTAACCTCTTGCTTTCCTTATAGATCTTACTTTTTCTTATGCTTTATTTATAATTAGGGGGAGAATGTTAGACCTATAATTCTGATCTGTAAAAGTATGAAGAAAGCTCAAGTGTTGGTCAACTAGAAACCCTTTCATCAAAGACTCAGAAGTACTTCTTAGAGAAACCAGAGGCTCTGTCTCTACTTCTGATCCCATCTCTTATCCGGACAAGTTTGTGATGTAAACAAGTATGAAGCTCATGCGCCTAGTCTATCCCGCCCAAAGTTTGTTGAAGCTACTTTACACATGGAGCATTTTTATTGGTTCTAGCTTTTACTTTCCTTCTAGGGCCTATAAATAGGAGCTAATGATCGGTTCAATTAATAAGATTTGTAAGAACAATATTTAGATTTCAAGTACTTCATGATCCTCACGACCAATCAATTGATAAAGTGACTATGATGACTTATCAAATAGTTTTGTGATCTTATTCTCATTGTTTATCTTACATTGCTTTACCCTGTTAAGATTAATTACAGCTTCCACATTAATACTCCTTTGATTTTGATCTAAAATGAGAAAACCTAGAACCTACAGATGCAACTCTAAGAAAGATAATTCTTATATGAATCGATCTAATCTCAAATTTGGAATGTTTGTTCCTTCTACAAACAACACTGAAGCATTTATCTCTTTGTTGCCTTCTGCATCCTCTAAGTCCTTCAAAGTCAAAAGTCAGAAAAAGGGTCAAAATTCCTCAGTGAGAAAAGATCCTCAAACTGACTTAACTTCCACTGTAACATCCAACTTATTAAAAGTCCATTTATGTTGCTAAACATGTTTAACTAAGTCAATAAAGTATATTATGGATTTGTGCTTGCTTATGTTAGTTGAAAAGTAAAAATGAGAAAAGTGCACAAATAAAAAAAAATGTGTAAGTGTGCACTATAAGGCCATATAAGGGACCCATGTTCTTGTAGTAAATAAGTGAAAAATATCAAAGTTAGATTGGAATATGAACTTTTGGATCGAATTAGAGACTGAAATTTTGTACTTAAGCTTCTTATAGATTAACTAAGAGATCTGGAAAGTTTCGTGAGAAACGGAGTTGACACGACCAAGATATGAATGAGGGACTAAATATGCCAATAGTGGCAAACTAGGTTGACTTGTTGACCAAAATAGGTCAAAAATGGGTTCTGCACTCTTAAATAGTAATTTCACCTCTAGAACTTTCACACACACTCAAAGGTGCGATTTTCACACACTTGGGCTTAAATATTTCAATTCTTGATGATTAATGTTAGATTCTTGAAGAATATGTGATAATTATCAAAGGTATGCTTCTAATTTCAAGTTTATTCCATGTAGTTAGTGATAATCAAGAAGGTTAGGGTTTTTATTTGAAAGATTATAAAAAAATGATGATAGATTAAGGTTGTTTGATAATGATTATAGTTTAATCATGAAAGAAACTTGGAATAATTGCATGCATTAGTATGAAAGCCATGAGATTAAGCATTGTTAGTGATGTTAATTATGATTAATGTGGGAAATCATGTTTATATGCTAAATAATGATAAAATTTCTGAGATTTTGTCAAGAATATGTATTATATGAGATGAAAACCAGAAGATGGTATTGAAATACAAAAGAATTGAAAATTATAATGGATTATATGGGTGAATTGGTATTGAAAGAGTAAGGTTACAGCTCTGATTTTGAAAATTCGTAGAAAATTGAAGAAAAATCGTATGAATATGAGATCAGTGTCCATGGAAAGATAACATAATGAACTACAATTCATCTTTAGACATGAAAATGTGAAATTGAAGTTAATATGTGTAAAAACTGCAACATGTATTGTGCTGTAAAGCTGAATTTTGATAGCTTTGAGTTGTCGTGTTGTAAATACATAATAAATCACAGAAAAATCATAAAAATGTGAGGTCAGTTGCATTAGAAATATATAAGAGAATACTGTATTTAGTATTGTCATTGGCTAATTTTGAGTCTAAGTGTGATAAAACATGGGATGAACAGAGGGCTGTACAGGGGAATTGAAAGTAGGATAGTCAAGGTCTAAAAGTGTATAACTTGAGATTGGTATATAGTTTGTTAATGATACTTGAAATGTTTACTCCAGGGGCTATATTAAGGCTATTTAGAGCCTCTGAAGATCTAATTCTATTGTTGGTTGGAATTGGATGTTACCGCATTCGGTTGTTTATATTGAAGCACTATGAGTTTATATCGAACTTATACTTATATGTAGTATATGTATATGCTTTCTTACTGTAAATTAGTTGATTTTGCATGCGTTATTTGTATGGTGATTCCCCTGGCCTTGTATTGTATTTATTGTTCATTTCGCGTTGTCGGTCGAGTCTGGATCTGGGACTGTTTCTTTGGCCTCTTGGTAAACCATGATCTACGGGTATTACTTCGGGTGATATGTTGTAGCGTGGTGTATATCCACGTATCCCAAGGAGAGGGAGGTTGGGTGTGACATATCGGTTGTCGTATTCACATATCCTGATTAGTAAGGAGTCGGGTGTGAGTACTTTGCACGGGCCTTGTAGACGAAGAGGGGGTGTGGTGCACATGTATACTCTATTTTTGGTAGTGATGCTTCTGTTTTGATATGTTTGTTGTGTTTTAATTGATGCCACTTTTATGAATCATATGGCAAGGTATGTTGACTGTTTGACTTGTAGTTAAACGATTTCTGTTTTGTTTCGGTTAATATTTGTATTTTACATCATATTTATACGCTTTGGTATAATCTCACTAAGCCTTGTCCCTTATCTCATTAGAATAAACATTTTTTTCCAAGAAGGACGGTAACGGACAAGGGTAAAGATAAGGCGATGTAGATCTATTAGAAGGATTCAAGATCCCGGACTTCATTTTGGTACTTGTTATGTATATATTTCGTCATATGTTGTATTTATGTAGTTATTACATTCGGGTAGTTATATATTTTGTCCCGACTTTTGGTATTGAAATCGTTGGTTGTAAGTTTCGTTAAACTTTTTGGTGAAAATCTATAACTTATATCCCGTATCTGTTTTGGAGATTATATTACGGAAAATGTTCTAGGTAAATAGTTTTCGAACTTAGTGTAACCGCGATGTTACATCCACTCCTCTTATCTCTACAAAACCGAAGAAAATACTCCCTCCGTTCCAAGATAAGTATTTACTTTTATTTATATTTGTCCCAAAATAAGTATCCACATTCAAAAGTAAATAACCAAATTTTCGAATTTACTCTTAATTAATGCACAAATATTTAAGAGTTGTGAAGAGAGAGAAATTAAATAAAAGTAAACATGTCATTTAGTTAACAAAAAAAAATGTAATAATTATGTTTGCTTAAAACTGCATGTCATTTCAATCGTAGACACTTATTTTGAGACGAATGGAGTAAAAGAAGTCATCTTAGATCAAAACTGGGTCACCACCGTGCAAGAAGAGCTGACTCGATTCGAAAGAAAAAAAAACCGAAAACTTGTTCCTCGTCTAGTGAACAAAACAATTATAGGTACTAAGTGCATCTTTAGGAACAAACTGGATGAAGATGACACAATAACCAAAAACAAGACCAGATTTGTTGCTCAAGGTTGCAAGCAAGAAGAAATTGATTACGATGAAACATTTGCTTCAGTGGCTAGACTCGAAACAGTTCGACTATTCTTAAGCTACGTTGTTCACGAGGCTTTCAAAGTATATCAAATGAATGTGAAAAGTGTATTTCTAAATGGCAAACTTCAAGAAGTATACGTCAAACAACCTCCGAGGCTTTAAAGATGCAAAACATCCTAGATTTTCCCTAGTATCACTTAATCATCGGATTTCAAACAAAAACCCCTAAAAGTACAAATTTTTGAGATAGAGATCCTAAAAACAAATGAATGCTACTTTGCTTTAGTTTAATAGATCCTAAAAACAAATGAATGCTACTTTGCTTTAGTTTAATCTAGTTTTGTGCCTCCTTTTACTATCAAGATTTACCGTGGAACGTATTCAATTGAATCGGTTTCATTCAAAAATTTGCTCCGGTATTGAGTTGTGATCCAGGATTTGGTTAAAATCGGACGATTACCAATCCCTTTGAAATTGTAGTCGATGAACATGGAATCTTGAATCCCTTGCTTTTCTCGGTCGCCAACATCAAAATTTCCAATATCGTTGTAGACGTACATTAACGTCCACCCCAAACACTAATGAACGAACATGGATTTGGCAACATTCGCTATATTGCCATTGTCTAATTTAGCCATTTATTAAAATAAATAAATGGTAGATATTTGCAAAAATACCCTTCTTTATATATGCATACAAGTTACCAAAAAGTTGTTATATCAATTGCTTAAAACAATGTAAAAAATGACAATTTCTTATAGAAAAAGTTTAAATGGTCAAATAATATGTTGAAAAAGAAGCATCATTTAAAGCCAATGATCAAGTTTGCATTTCACACAAGTACAAAAGCAATTACATTCAAACCAAACGAAAACAAGCATAAAAGATCGAGATATAACATAAACGTACGAGTACAAAGTCCTTGTGATCAACAGGAACGTATTCAGATCTGATTTTACTAACAATAACTTAAAAGGAGTATTCATTCAGATCTGATTTCGAGTCGCTCATTTCCTCATCAGCCCTGCATTCGTCGGCAGAAAGGGGAGGCAATTGCCTTGTTTTTCGCTTCAAGTTATGCTTGTGCCAATCACTCTTGAAGTGTTCTCTATACTGTTTAGCATCCCCCACAATTGCATCACACGTACTGCACTTGTTTTGCTTCACCTGACCTTGAGTGTCATCGGCAGACAAAGTCTGCTTTTGTATTTTCTCGCTCAACTGGACAACGTCTTCTGTCGGTTTTTTAGATTCGCTTGACGATACTTCCTCATGACCCTCATAATGATCGGCATGGATATCACCTTCACCATGTACCGAGATTGCTAGAATTTCAGACCTCCCTTGCAGATTCCTCACAAACGCATCACAATCGCGGAATAATCCTGGGTCCATTTCACATACCTGCTCCGGAATCATTTAAAATACTCGGCCTCAAAAAAAGACACTTTATACAACACGTTTACACGTAAACCAAATAAGCCAATTATATCCTTTACCTGAACGACTAGGATTGAGACGTTTTCGTAAAGATCATTGGCTCGTGCACAAAGTAAAGGGGTGTGCAAACAGACGATAAAACACTCCCTCCGTCACAAAATAAATGTCCACAATGAAAAGGGCACATGGTTTTAAGAATGTGTAACTATTACATTTGTTAATTAACTACATAACGATTTTACCCTTGATAATAGAAGGTATAATGAATTTCCATCTTATAATTAAAGGGTAGACATGGAAAATAAGCACTTACCTTTAAAGTGGACGCTTATACTGAGCCAAGTCAAAATACAAATGTGGACATTTATTTTCGGGACGGAGGGAGCAAGTAATACAACAGGTAAGCCAGAAATATAACATGTAGAATAACAATTCAACGGTGTGTGCAAGCAAACATGTAATACAAGTAGAAACTTGTTATAAGAAGGCCAATTCTTCAACAATGTGGTATAATGCTAAAGTTTCGATTTTTCTTTTTCCATCATATGAATTATTGATGCTAGCTAGTAGATTCACTCTCTATCTTGAAACCAAGAAATCTACAGAACTCCCAAGTTTTATGGGGAGCTCCCTTTCAAGTGAAGATATATATAATATGCAAAATAAAAGCCAGTGGGTGAGGGATTAGGAATCTAGGATCCAGAGGACTTTTTTAAATATAGAACAGAGGTTAAATAAATAAATAGGCTCCAAGTCTTTGAGAAAGCATCATTAGGGCTGAAACAATTGTAGATGTAATTTGTATTTAAGTCAACTTCATGCAGTTCTCAATAACTCTTCTCAATAACAAACTGTTCAAGTGCTCATCTTAAGGAATCCCGATGTAGAAAGCTGGCAAGTGAGACAGGCATAATAGCTCAATTTCATTCTCATCCCACATCTCGAGGAAGATGCCCAGGAGCCTAGGTCCATGTCATTATAGGCAGGCACGTTCGACTATGAAAGTCATCATCCATTATCGGAACAGAGAATACCCAGAAAAAATTGAAACGTGAACAACTCTCATCAGTTTTTTACTTTCCCCTCTTTTCCAGAAAAAGAAACGCCTTCTTTCACTTGTCTCAACTATTTCAATTACACTAATATCAGAGTCTATAAACGGTCTTTCATGACGATGGATGAAGAACTTGTAATCCTTCCAACTACACTCCCATCCATAAGGAAAACATAAAAGCAGTTGATTTATGTACCGCATTAACAAATAATAACAACCTCTTCAATTAAAAGTCTATAACTCTCATCAGTTTTTTACTTTCCCCTCTTATCCAGAAAAAAACGCCTTCTTTCACTTGTCTCAACTATTTCAATTACACTAATATCAGAGTCTATAAACGGTCTTTCATGACGATAGATGAAGAACTTGTAATCCTTCCAACTACACTCCTACCCATAAGGAAAACATAAAAGTAGTTGATTTTATGTACCGCATTCACAAAAAATCTTTCACTTAAAAGTCTAGACCTACCCATATGACTAAAACCTAAACACAACATTGGCTTAAAAAAATACTTGGATTAACTGCTACTCCACTTCTGTTTCTGAAATACTTAGCAGTGAATTAAAAGTTTAAGAGCTACATATATATGGAGTATGAATGATGGTTATCTAGGTATCTCATAGGATCAATAGCACTTGTGGTATAGGTAACCCACAATGAGGGACAATTTAGAATACATAGAAGGGACTTGCAATGAGGGGTCGTCCTTGAACAGAACCAGCGTGTAAGATAATTCAAATACTACCTTCTTTAACATGCAATAACAACTACAAAACTAGTTTATTCTAAATGCACATAGCAAAACTTTGATGCATCCAAGTAAACCTTGTAATGAAAGCAGAACATAAAACTGGAAAATAATATCCAAGGGGTCTGGAATGTAGACTTACAATAGAGACCTGACTTCCAGATTCATCTTTGGAAACAGTGACGGTTTTCCACTCAGTGAGTTTCTCTGCAAGAGAATCAAAGTTCTGTTGTGGTAACGTTAATCTTAGTCTCATTGGAGACCTCTTTATTGGGAAATGCTTCTGAAGTTCCCGGATGACATCTAATGCCTGTAAATGATATTTAGTCAAAACTATATGATACATTATTGCATTGATGTCTAAGTAATATCATAGAAGACCAATTAATCAATTCGCTAATGTTAGGCAAAGTTATCAAAATAATGCTGAAATAGCAATGAAAAATGGAGCTGGATTTGCAACAAAGACAGAGAACAATGGAGCTGGATCTATAAAGGACTTCACCCATCAATATGCAGCACAACAGATGGAGCTACCTGTTTCTTTGAATTGCTATGTGGATCTACAGCAAAGTGAATTTCATGCATCAAACGCTCAATCATGCTTATAGTATATGGGCGCTGCGTTTCAGGATTGATAGTCTTCAGCATAACAATAGTTGCAATGTCCCTAAACTGATTTGATAATTGTGATTCTCTCTCCTTTCCTGCAACTTGCAGTTCTCCTTTCTCCAAAATCTGTATGTGAAAAAAACTCTGTTACCAAAATATTTTTCCATTCAGACAGTAAGTCTCTGATTTCAACTAACAGATAAAGCTCATAAGAAATAAAAAAATTCAATGCAATTGAGATTATATTTCAATAACCTCCAGACAGATTTTTGTCTGATCATCCATCCCAAAAGCCGCCAGTAGATCTTTAGACTTTGCAAGAACTCCCTTCCCAACATTTGTGTAAACGGTGTGTGATTGTAACACTTCATCCAGATCTCTCTCACTGAGAGCATTGCAATATATCAGCACCAAAAATTTGAAAATGAAATTATCATACTTGGCAAAATAGGGCAATAAAGACAACTCATAAGCAGATATAAATCTCTAACAGGACTAAAGATGACCAAAGAATACAATGAAATACAAACCATATGTGAAGCATACAGTTATTGTCTTATTGTTGCTCCCACAATCCCAAAACAAATGGTACATTAGACTATTCATGAAGATAAACAAAAGCTTGACCATTAAAAAAAGGTAGAAAACGCTGCTACTTGGGTTTTCGCTTCTTGAAGGGAAATCATTTTGAAATTATTCTAGTAGATAGAAAGGAAACCAGAGAACAGACAATGGGATCTGCAAGTAGTTTAGGCTTATAACAATTGATTTAAGGGTTCATATCCAATAATTTTAAAAGCTTTCTGATTTTTGTTGATATCCCATAAATGAACATTTGTAATACATTTTGAAATGAATATAGTAGAAGTTACCACCAAAATCCAGAGGTGTCAAAGACGCAATAGTTGTTTAATTAACTTCCCTTTAGTTGACATGCCTAAAAACGGCAGCCAGTGTGCCAGGGCCACTTGGCATTGTTTGGGGAGGGAAGTTTCTGCACCCAACCATGCCCTTGCATTTTTAGAGCATCTTGTTATAGCCTAGGTAGTGCTAGAGGTCAACAGGTCAAAGTTGGTAAGCAGGATAGGGGAGTCGGTTACTTGCTTAAGTAGTATAAATAAGAGGGACGAGAAAGAAGAAAGGTATCGTATAGTTTCGTGGTTTGTTTTAGGTTGTATGCCTGCGGGAGAAAACTCAGCCTCTTGAAAGCCGAGAACATTCAGTAATCAATTGTTATCTTTTGTATTCAACAAATTCCTTCAATTCCAATTGAAATTACATATTTGACCGATACATTGCGTATCACATCTCCAACAAATTCTCCAAAATTTATACAAAATAGAGAATCAAGATTTAATATCTCTAAAATAATTACATTTGACTCCAACAGCTTCTTCATTTGAAGATTACAACATTTATTATTGTATTAAAATATTTCATACATTTAATAAAATATTACTCTTAAACATTTAATTTCAAAGTTTCTTATCTCTGGCGATACATATCTGAAAACATCATACAAAAGATCAAAACCCTCAAATTCCACACCTATTCAAATTCCAGTTTCCAGCTCCTATCACAAACACTGTATGGTATCTTAGGCATTTTAACAAAAATAGACAATCTATTATCAAGCTCTGAGTTCTTACAGGCATGTATTACAAATATCAGTTTGCCCTTCATCTAAAAACAGCCGAGTTTGTTCATAACTCAATACAAGCCACATAAATTCGTACTACACAACTTCTCTGGACAAGATATTTAATAAAGAATATAAGCCCCCCGAGAGCTTGACGTGGAATAAGTATTCAGAAAGGGAACAGACTGGTTAGAAGAGGAAAAAAAGGTGAAAGATGAAAACCTGTCCTTTCAAAAGATTGGTCACGAGAGCCAAGCTCACACACAAAACATCAATCACCTAGTATGATCCTAATGAATGGCACTTCCTTACGATTACACCCGCTACTAAAGCTATTAATAAATCTTACTGATGAAGCTCATAATTATTCTAATAACAACCAAATAAATGATACTAAATACTATGTCATACAACATTTATCCTAATTTGTGACATCCCGTTCCTGGGGGTATCGTCCTTTGCCCTTATCACAAATGAATGAAAGAAACTTCATATCTTAAACTTTTATTTCATTATAATAGAGTTACTACAACAGCGGAAATGCAAAAATTTACAACTTATAATATTCTAACATCTTAGAATAGCAACACTTCAGCTAGTTCCTACTCCTTGATTCCTGAGATACATACATGAATATGTAAGCTTTAAGCTTAGCGAGTAATTATAATTTCATGATAAAATATTCTTTCCAAATAGTTAAAATAGTTATTATAAACTTTCATATGTAAAAACATTTCTTTGAAATCTCATGGTTACATGTTAAGTAAACCAACTTCTCACAGGTTCTTTAACCTCGGGTCCACATAAGGGTTGCCCAATAAGGTCTGTTTGCAAGACGTACCTTCTTTCTATATCCCGTACGTTGGATATTTAAATGATTATACTTAACATGTATAAAAACGTTCATATACCACGTGCATCATGACATAAAAGGTGTACTTTGCCACATAGCAATGCTCTTTCATGCATAAAACATTTATATATATAGCATGTATGTATCCCATTAAATCTCACAACGTACTCACCTTATTTATACCCTGCTTTGGGGTTTCTAACTCACTTCTTAGGTAATGTTCCAAATCTTGGGATGAAAAAGAAGAGCCCTTTAAGCTTCTATTTATAGGGTGTATGACATGCTTTAAGGTACTTGTTCAATTAGCTTTTCAACTTGTAAATTTCTAAGGATATGCCACATATGTACTTGTTTATTCTTATCTTCTTTCCTAGCCTTGGCTTGTAATGCTTTTAGGGTTGCCACAAACTCTTTTCCTCTTCCAACACATTCTCTAGGCTTGCTTTGTCATAAAGAGTAGGCTTGCTTTGTCATAAAATTTTTGTGGCTCATGTTGTTTGTTTATAAGTAGTTTTGTAAGCTACTTGTGTGCTTGCTTACTTATTTATCTCTATAATTAATATTTTTTTCACTAAAAGATGCTATTTACCTTGTTTTAGTTCTTATATTAAGGGCCTTTAGAAACAACTTAACTTTATAAGAAATTATAATAAAGATATGTATATATCTATATACCTGGCTGAAAATTTGGGTTGTTACATAATTATATCGTATTATTCATAAATGATTACATGTGGTTTATCCAAACCAAACAAACTCATTGTATCAGACCTGAAAGTAGGGTCTAGGATGATAAAATGTATGCAAACCTTACCTCTATGGCTCTACCACTTATGGTAGAAAGGTTGTTCCAGAATATATAAAACAACAATTTCGGTAATGAACTCTAGAATTTCCATAGTGTCCTTACCTTTGCACCATCAATGATCACCTCACCCCTCCAACAAATGATTTCATCATCCATGTTGAAGTGAAAATTGACCTAGTAAAACACAAAAAAAGATAGGTACAGAACATCCTCCAGAAGTTGATAGCATGGGCATGGCAGTAACTCTTGTGCATTGGCTCTTAAGACCAGAACAAAATAGGCACGAGACCTAATAATCAAGCTAAAACCCACATTAATCTAAAAATTTCTTTATCCAATTTGTTGAATATTTAAACCCTAATGTTCTGCACATCGCTCACCGCATACCTAAATTGCGCACCAAATGGTTTGAGCCGTTTTCTAATTCTGTAAACCAAGTCAAACATATCTGAATATTTCATTCATGGTAGCACAAAACGAAAATCAAACAACATCGCCATTTGAAACAACTCGAGAACAAACCCTGAAAACGAGGGTCAAAAATTATCGCGTACCATATACACAATATAAACCATACAACCAGGATCCCATCGTATTTAATTAATAACCCCAAGATTAAACCAAGAAAGACGGCAATTCCTTCACGTGATAAAACTTAATTAAAGGGAGTATGAATTGTTTGGGTTCAAGAGATGCTTACACGCCAGAGCGCCATGAGAGGACTTTGTTCTTGTAACAAGCAATTTCGAATCGGTTTCCATGTTTCTTGAGACGAACAACGGCTACGTTCGTGAGTCGTTTCTGCCCTACCGGCTGCACCAACGTCCTAGACATTTCTTAGCTGATTCGTGACCTGCAGTTTGACGCCCTTTCTTCTCGAGACTTCTATGCGCTTTAGGTTACTCCGATCCATGATATACCCGACGGCCGCCATCTTACGAAAATTGCACTCTTTAAAATATCTTAACAATTATGAGCCAAAAAAATATCTTGGATGTAAAAAGAGAAAAAATTTATATCAATAAGGTTGTGTTTTTTTTTTTTTTTTTTTTTTTTTTTTAAGGGGGTTGAATTCTGAAATCTTCTGATTTATTAGAGATGGAGTTGAAGTCTGAAATCTAAATCAGTCTTATTGTTTGTTTTTTCATCTGAAGTCTGAAAATTAAATCAATTAGACTGTTTGTTTTTGTAAACTGACAAACATCTTAAGTATGAAATTTGAATCAATTCATTTCAATTAAATTTAACTGAAATATCCAATCATTTAAATCATTCGTAAACTATCATCTATTTTAACATATTCAAAAATTCAACTGAAATACGTCAATTGATTCGACACACAATAGAAAACACGAACAAAGTCTCATAACAACTAGAATAAATATTTATTTTGCATTAATTGTGTCGCAATTATTCTCTTAAATTAGCCGTACAATGTTTGGTCAGCGGTACCCCATGCGATTGAACCTCTTTAGCCTCATCATCACCATCGTTCCCTTGCTCGTTGGTTTGATCATAACCAGAAAATAACTCACCACTTAAACCTTCCTTTCGTATGAAGTTGTGAACCGCAAAACATGCAATAACAACGTCTCTTTGAACCACAAGTGTAAATGGTGTCGAAAAACATGTCTTCAGGACACCATAAGAACGTTCAATAACATTTCTAAGTTTAGCATGAGAACGATTAAACTTTTCATACTTGTTCATTGCTCGTCGACAACGAAAATCTCCGAACCAATATCTAACATTACATTACGGCGCCATAAATCCTCAAGTATTTGTATACGCAGCATCATATAGATAATATTTATTTGAAAACAACAAAATCCGTATTCAAATGAATATAGTAAATATATTACTTCTAAAATCAATAGTATACCTAAAGGAGGAAATGGAAATCCAATAGCACCATTTGCTAAAGCTTCAGACAAAACTTTAGAATCATGTGCAATTCTTTCCCATTCGGCAATAACAAATGTAAAAATATGTTGAAATCACAAATTGTCAAAACATTTTGATAACATTCACCCTTTCCTTATCCTCTATATAAATGTTGTTCTTAAATAAGAACGATAGCATGTACTAAAGTTCCATCCAAAGCGCCAATTGCTCCCTACATTAAAGCTAATAGTCAAAATAAATTTAGTAAGGAAGGTTATACAAGTATTATCAAATTATTATTTACTTTAAATATTCATTGTAACCTCCTATTATTCCCAGGGATATCTGATTATGATTGAATGATGTAAGAACTATGATCTCTTTGGCAAACTCCATCATTTTATCCAACACTACATGAAAATTTTTATGAATTGTTTGTGTTGAGTGCTGGAACCTGTTTTTCAACACTCTATAAAGTTGATTGTGACCTATAATCATCAGAAAGATAGTCATCTTTTCTTCGACCAATATATGTTCGTTATCCATTAACCAACCTTTTGATTTAAAATGATCACATAGTCGAATGAAAGCTTCATGAGACATTCACAACCACTTAATACATTGCTGATCACTACCTTCAAGTAGCTCAACAGTAAATTGACATTCATTCATTGCAGACGTATTATCTCTTTTCCTTTTAAACGCCTTTGTCGCAAGTAAAACATATACAAGAATACGACGAAGAGAAGTATAGTTTTTTTTTAATTATTATCCATGATGATTTGATTATTATCCATGATGATTTGATTATTATCTATGATAAACCTGTTAAAATCATAAATAAAATTATAAATAGAAGTAAACTTCAATATCAAACGCATTACCAAATAACAACTTGTTCAACTTCCAAAACACGTAACCAAGTAGTCAAATATCAAACACATAAGCAAATAACATGTTCAAATACGAAACACATAACGAAGTAACTTGCTCAAATGCCAAAAACTAATCCATGAGTCCTAATCGTCTTGTCGTCCTTGAAATCCGTGATGTTAATATATCAGTGTCTAAAGGGATCGTCAACCATGTCTCTCTTAATAATGTTGACTGCCCAAAAATATCAATGGTTGCACTATAAAGAGGACTAATTTTATCAAGGCCAAGAGTGTTCAACCGTTCAATACAAGCATTTAGGTGTGAGGTTTATTGTGCAAAAAGTGTGATTTGTTGTGTAACAAGTGTCTGAAGTGCACTCCTCATTTCTAAAGTCAATTCATCCATGTCGACCTTGGTTCTACTCTTCTTATTCAGTCTAGACGAAGTTGTGCTTCCTTTATCGACAGTTGGTCCTTCCTCCTTATCTCCATCCACCTCATTTTGAGTATTTTGAGTAGTGTAGATAGTAGATGTAAATGATGATGATGAAATCGTAGTCCTCTCATGGGTTGAACTAGGGGCATAAGCACGAGATCCGATAGGAAAAGTCCCCTCGAAAAAAGCTTACATAATTCAGGATATACCAATGGTGATGTTTTTAAAGTTCTTGCTTTTTTGGATGTCCCTATATCCAAATTAAGTATAATTATTTATATAATACTCATGTTTTTGTCTTTAATATCTAAAAAGGTAAAAAAGAATAAAAATTAACCTCAAAGAAATTTTCCCATTCTTGATTAGATAAGGTGAACATATTCATTTCTGAGTCATAAATATTCCATGTTCTATTCCTTAAGTACACTCATCCCGAATACTTTCCCTTTAAATAATCATACTGATTTTTCAATTGTTTTTGGGTGATTTTTACATGCCACGCTTCCTCAAGCTTTGTTACCAACTTCACCTAAGTTTCTTTGCAAAGACTACATTCGTTTTGACCACTTTATTGACCTCCTCTATACAAGTCTCTAAAAAGCGTTTGGTAATTTTTGTGATCCCAGATTCAAGTCTAATTCAACAATTCAATCAATAATCAAGAACAAGATGATGATTTCAATATGTCGTTAAGCTTCTATTTCATAAACTGATGAGTACAAAGTTCTTGAAACAATCTCTCAAAGGTGCGTATGATTGGAGGTAGTCTTCGCAAAGAAACTTCTCTCACCTCTCTCTCTCTGAAGATAAAGAACCACTTCAAGCAAGTGAAAAACACATTTCCAAGTCTAAATTTCTTATAACAAATCTTTTCTATTTGCTAAGTGTATTTATGTGTACCCCTAGATTGTTTAGATAAGTTTTGTACATTATCTCTTCCGCAAACAATCTGTAAAATTTGTATTGATCATTCTTTATCAATATATAATTTTAAAAGTGAAAGTTTATGTGTTTGTATTCATTTCCACTTTCGACAAACTGTTACCTATAAACTTTTGTGTATCCAGTTGGGATCAATATATGAACAATTTCCCCTTTTAGAAAAACTTTCATCAAAACCTTCAAAACTCTTACAATCTTCCCAGTCTTTGACAATCTTCTTTAAAGAACAAACTTAAACAATCTCCTCCAAATATTAATCATTTTCAAATATTGACAAGCTCCCCCTTGACTTTCAAACAATCTCCCCTTGAACATTGTAGAAAACAAACTTGTAATCATCTTCAATTTTATTTCAATCTCCCCCTTTGAGATAGATTAAAAATAATCTTCACATTTACTCTCTTTTGGCAGTAACTCTCATTTAATCACAACAATTCAACAATCTTCAGCAATAATTTTCACTGATATTTCTTTACTCCCCCTAGAATCAACACTTTTCAATCATTTTGTATTTACTCCCCCAATCTTTAGAAATGACTTATTCATTTGATTACTCCCCTTATGATGTGAATGAAGAGCATAAACCTCATACCACGAAATGAATGATCATGAAAGTATGTCGTCAATCATAGTGTTTTAAGCAAACCTTTTCAAATTCACTTATTTAATCTTTTCAGATTAAGGTTTTGGGAAAAAACCAGATTCAACTTATGAACCCGTTTTCAATCTTTTATACAAAGATTGGCCTGTGAATATAACAGATATATTCAGTACAACGAATGTACTTTATATATAAGACTTTGTAACGTTCATCTCACCAGGACTTCCATTCAATCATTGATAGCTTAAAAAAGTGTATCTATGAATGTTATGATAGAATAACAAATATCCTATGAAATTTGTGCAGTGCAGAAAAAAATAAAGCAACTAATGCTTCAACATAAGCTCAAATTGATAAATAGTGTGGAATACACAAATTTATAAGACTCAATTTGTGATCAAACAGACGTGAAGGGGGGACATATATCTTTCTCTTTCAATATCAGTATTCTCCAAATAAGAAACCAATAGATAATGAATTGCATGCCCCAACTGTTATTGAAACACTTATCTTTTGAGAGATAAATGAGTAGTTGGTGGGGTTTTAAACAAGAGTTGGCTTGGGTTTTTTCTTTTTCAATATTAATCTTGAAAGAATTGAGAACTAATAGATTTTGTGTTTGCCAAGATTATAATGGATGGATCAAGAATTTGATATTCTTTTAATCCTGTACACAACTCTCATATAATTCTTTTAAGCTCACTTCAACTACCCCTCTCTTTTACATTTTCAACACAACACACAAACCCATTTTCATTTAAGCTCATTTAGTGTGGTTGTCCTCTTGGGAAGGGCTATCAGTTCTGATAGTCCATAGAGGTTTATATGATAAGCACTAAGTCCCACTTAAGAATTTTGCATTATAAGCTTAATAAAACTATATTAGTTAAGCTCAATTGATCACATGAGTTTGATCAAAAAAATATTGCAATTTAGCACATGATGAATATTCAAAGAGTTATTCAAACAATATATTGTAAAAAGAGAATGAAGGAAGATCTATAAAAAACAAATATACAGATTTGGCATTGAAAGAATAATGAAGTATTTAACAATGAAGAATTATTTTCAATAAGTTTTGAAAACAAATTGGATTTCAAATGAGTGTATTATCACCAAAAATAGATATTACATTTTAGAGACGTGATAATAACAGATTGAAGAACAGCTGAATCAGGTATTATGTATGAAAA